CCTCGGAATTTGTTGGCTTTTTTATTCAATGGCTCACTTCTGTGTTGCATATGCATAATCATTGATAAATTTCAGGTTGACCAATACTCAAATCACTGATTAAGATGCTAATGAATCTGGGATATTTAAGCGATGGTTCATTATTAAATATGACAATTAATTATATGGATGTTATATGGCACAAGATTTTTTCAGTATTTTTAAATCATTTGGGGGGTGGGGGAGTGGTAGATTACCGAAGGGGGCATTTGCCTCTGGCCCTGGATTTTCACTGATTGGGAAAATTGGGAGATAGTTGGTCATTTCCCCCCCGAGTTTTCTAAGGTTTAAACATATTAACTACGGTTTAAACAACGATGAGCCACCTGTCTGCTTTCTGCATTTTGCAAAATATATAATGATATATAATTTTCCACTTACGCGGTTTTATACGCGTGGCAAACTGGCCCGTAGTTGAGGTGGGGGCCTTGGGGGGGTAGGGGGAGGCTCCCCCCCTGTTTAACATCATGCGGCTATCAGAGTGCACCTAAAAAAGCAACTCCTCGGCAATTTTTTTACTTCTCCCCCAGAAGTCGAGATCAAGTTACGCAAACTTTAAATCCTTCAAAGTATTATAATTGAACACATCGGTTAACAAATGTATACTAAAATAAACGGAAAACTAAGTTCTCCGCGCGTCTACGTGCGTATAAAAAAATGTGTAAGCCTGCCCAGGAAAGATTAATCCGGCGCTGGGAGCCCAGGCCTCACTCTCCCTCTGGTCTCTGCTGTCACTAGTTTAAGATTTGTAATCAGGGCACTATGGCTTTTCTTGAACTCGCTGTGGGTAGAAAGCCATATAAAACTTCGTGAAATCATACGCCAAAGACTTCGCATTTGCCGTCAAAACATTTTTCGTGCATTCCTGTAAAAGCTCGTTGTTCTTATCGTCACCGTGAATCCTTTTACACATGTCAAGAGCTTGGGTGTAAAACTCTTTAGCTTCATTGCGCTTTTTATATCCAGATTCAAATTCACAACTAGCCTCATGTTTAATACCTTCCATTTTACTGGCATATGCAATGTCATTAAGTAATTTGACTAAAGAATCGTCATCTTTGCCCCCACCGATGTTAGTTTGTATATCATAAGCCCTTTTAAACGCGAACCTCGCTTTCTTCCAATCGTATAGTCGTAGTGCGGTATGCCCAACACCTTTTAAGATTGATGCCTCTTCTCTTGTAAAAATACGGTACTTTCTGTTCTTATATAGCGCTTTTAAAGCGTCATCTGCCAGTCTTTCAATCTTTTCCATTTTCCTGTCCGGATTTGTCATTTCATATAGAACTAGAAACAACTTTGCATCAGCGAGAAGAGGAAAAGGTGTATTGTACTTTTCATATAAGATGTCAATAATATCGAGTAAACTTTGAATATGTTTCAAGAAAATCTCGCTGTTTTTCCTATCATCGATAAAGGAGGGTTCAAGAATTCGGGCTAAAATATAATGTCCGTAAGCGATATCTAACAACAAATTAATTTGTAACATTGCCGGTTCCGTTGAACATTCTTCATACAGCGAATAACTATTTTCCAGAGCTACTTCTGCATAAGATTTAGCTTCCTCGATTCGTCCCAACTCCAACAGAATGGCGCTATACTTTAAATAACTATCCCCCAACTTATGTCGATTTTTACGTGATGGTGGATCACGGTCGTAGTTTCGTTCAATAATTTCCAGCATTTTACGGAGGTATTTCAACGCTTCCGTTCGTTTGCCTTGACAGAACAGTGTCACTCCCAATGCATTCATTATTTCCTCAGGGTTTAGTAACGAATCATGCGGGTTTACAAGTATGTCTTTAGCGATCTCCACAGCTTTGTCGTACTCCCAAAATGAAAAGTACGTCCATAATTTTATTTTTCGATGATTTTTATAAAATTCCGATTTCATAACCTCTGGTAAACCGATTCCTTCATTTAACTTTTCCATTGCTTCTTTTAGTGGTATGACGGTAAAGAAAAATCTCTGCAGTAAACACAAGCCTTGAGGATTGATTTTGAAATATTCACTTTGACCTTGATTGCTTAAATACGTTCTCAACCGAAATTCAGCTGCTATACCAAGCACAGTTTTTAGGTCATGAGCTCCTTCTTCAGTAAGAAACTCGGCAGACACCAACTTTCCAATCGTTTCCCAAGAGGACGGGCATTGAACATCAAAGTATTTCCCCACATATTGTATAACAAGGCTCGGAAATCTGTAGATATCTGTTTTCACTTCATAACTTGCGCCTGGTTTGTTTACAAACATTCCAAGGGAATGATGGTATTTCGTATTCACTTCAACCAACCCATGTAAAATTCTCTCTTTCCAAGACATTGGATTAATATGATACGTGGATTTGATATCAACCTTTGCCGAGCTGCAATTGTTCACAGTTTTTTCGAAGTGCTCTCTCATAAGTTTGCTATAGTCTTTAAACAACGAATCATCTCCATAAATTAAAGAAGGGGTTGAAAGCACATCAGCCAGATGGTATCCCTCTTTGAAAATCGATTCCTCTGAAAGAAGGCCAACCATATCTCTTGGAGTTTTAATCAGGGACTGTACCCAAGTCTTCTTCAAAGTTTTATCTCGTCCTTTTGGTGTTTTACTTGCCCAAGGCATGGCTCCGTCAAACGAAAAACCTCTTGGACCATCATCATAAAACCAATTTACTCCTTCGTTTCCGGAATAGTAATCATTCAACGACTTTATTCCAAGGCTAGGAAGGATAGTTTCACCAAGTTCCACCACTTTCAAATGAAGTAGGTTTGTGAAGTCGGTAAAATACTGCATGACACTGTCCGTGTTCTTTTCGACAAGAATACAGAATTCTAAATCTGAGTATGGCGTTGCTTCCTCTCTTGCTGTTGACCCCAAACCAAATATAGAAAATTTACACGGAGGACTTAACATAACCTTTAAACAATCATCAGCCATGCTTGTTATTAAATCCTTCATTGATTTCGATATGAATTTATACAGTTGCTGTGTTTGTTCAATTCTTTCGCTTTCAACACGGACATCTCTTGCATCTGGGTCAAGCTCAGGCATTTTATCAAAGGCGCTGATTTTCGATTGGCAGGAATCGCGGATCGTTTGAAGAGTTTGTTTATAATGTTCACGTTTTCGAAAATCGCTCTTGCTATCATTCTGCTGTGATTGAAGTATTTCATCAATAAACAACGTGTGGACATTCCCGATCTCCTCTTCTAAAGAACGAATTTCTGGTTTTAAATCAACTTCGACAGTTCTTTTACTTTCATTTTCTGAATTGCATTCTCGCAGTCGATTTAACGAAGCAGTTAAAAGCCCCGAAGCTTTGACCAAATCTTCAGCACTTTTGTGAATGTTTCCGCGAGCTTTGTATACGAGACCCAATCCTTTAAGGGCGATTGCTGTTTCGTAAATTTTGTTCTTCATAAGATAAACCTCCCTTACAGCGCTGGAAAAGGTTCGTTCGGCGTCTTCCAAATTGTTTTTTTCCAGATAGCGATTCCCTGAAGCGAGAAATCGCTCGTAGCGCGATGAACTTGAACGTTGTGCCATTGTCGAGTCTACCAGATAGTCAGCGTAGGCGAAATTTAATGAAAAATTGAGACAGCTGAATCTTCTGATAATGCAAAGTAACAAACAGCTCTCAGACTATATCGAATTCGAACTAAGTCAACTAACTCTCACTTGTTTGTCTCACATCAATTAAACCTGACAATATTGTCGGGAAGAAGGAAAACTAAATACCTCTGCAAGTATATGGGCTAAAGACTCCGGAATACCGCCAAACAATAGAGCTTGAAAGGACGATTTTTAAAAGTAATATATTAAAACCAGCATATAGCGATAAGCTGCATTTGCATTATAAGTCAAAACAGGAGTCAAAATAACCGGTTGCTTTGTTATCTCAAATTATTTACCCATTGGCATAGCAACCATATGCATTAGAAATTCCGTATTTTCTCGCTTTTTTTGTTCTCTGATGTCTTTAAAATGTCTGAATTTTATATGTTATCATTCTGAGTAATTTTTGGGGTAGGATGTGCAAACGAATAGGAGAAATAGCGTTTTATAAGTTCTAAGCGATAATTGTTGCTAAGCGCGTGCTTACTGCGTGCTCAGAATGTTGTCATGCCGACTCATGCGGTTGGAAAAAGTGACAAAACTCCATGACGCCCTCTCCCTAGCGTAAATTTGACCCCAAAAATCGATTCCTGACGATTCGGCTTTTGTGAAATAGTATTGCCGGTAATGCGATATCATCATGCATGTTTATATGAAAAATAGGTTCGCACGCGTACATGTATCTGCCCAGTATTTGTTCCACTCTTTTGCTGTAGTAGGTGACACTCCTAGCCATTTTGTACATAATCAGAATTAAACTTGATCAAAGTGTATTTGAAATTTATTTTATTCGCAAAGTGGTCATTAAATTGCTTGAATTTTGCACAGTGCAATTAATGGCAGGAAGAGCAGGCATATACCGTACTGAACAACCAAAACAAAAGTCCTGTATAGCTGTCTCTACACTATACTCAATTTATTAGCCAGGCATTTCTATAATCCACGCTCAACCTTTCTACTGCTAGCTTGAACATATAGATAAAATTGGATATAGGAACGAATTTTTGTTATGCTGTGCCAGTTTGTGTAGTGTAAACAGGGCTAAAATATAACGTTAGTATAATTGTAAAGGACAATACTATGTATGCTATATATTAACATTATGGGTGTTCAATTATAACACCTATCATATCAACTAACAGCACAAACAAAATACAAACATTTTTTCTATAACATGAATGCCGGCAAGTATCAAATGGTTTTAATATAGCCAAATATGTGTTTTGCTATAGATATAGATTTGATAAAAATTTCTATAATATGAATGCCTGTCCGGAAAATAAATATTAATGCCAAACATAGTGCATTTAGTAAAGCCATAAAAGACAATTTTAACAATTTATATAAGGAATAAAAAATGTATTTTGATATATACGTTTCGTCCAGACTAAGTGATAAATTAGATGTAAGTTTGAACATGTAGACTAATAAAATATTTACAAGGTATTAATTTAGAAAGGTTAAAAGTAAGGGCAACAACGGAAAACAATATATTATTAGTCTACATAGTCAAATTTGCATCTACTTTATTACTTTACTCTACTACTAACACAACGAAACGTCGCTATCAAATATATTTTTTATCACTTTTTAATTCTTGAAATTGCCTTTTATGTCTTTACCAAAAGCAAAATATAGAAAGATTTCAATATATGAATGCTTACGGGTCAACTTATGTCGTTCTCTTGCAAATCTGGAAGAGATTGCTTTGCCTGCGAAGCGAAGAGATCGTTTGGATTTCTTACAAAATTTGGTGTATTTTACACAACTGAATTTCATAGGATTCATGATTAAAACACTTACTAAAACAGAAGAACCCTACAGTTAAAACTGTAACGAAATAACGTTAAAATAAAATTGACACGGTTAAAAACAATCTTTCTGCCCGTGTCCGCATGTTTACTTTTCAGCCTGCGAACGGGAATGGTAGCATCTCTGATGTAATGTTTTATAATACTAGCCGTTGATTGGCTAGAAGTGAACAGTGAACACTGAACAACTGAACAAAAAGATATCTGCTACGCAGATACAAAAATCAGCAAAAATCATCTAAACGCTCGATTTTGACGTGAAAGATATCAAAATAATATCAAAATAATGAATATCATAGCGAATTGGCAACATATCGATTTAAAAAAGCATGTATCTACTGAGGACAATTTTCTCTATAAATGGTTCTATTTTTATTAAAATCAGTCAAGTATTCGCACAGAAATCGCAAGTTAAAATGAGCTAACCACTTTGCGATGCCATCTGATCCGGCGGCAAACGTTTCCGTCTGTTAACTCTGTTTGTTCTGTTAAAAGCAATTACAGGCTACAGCAGTAAGCCAGTATATCTGATTAGCCAATCACGTTCAACTGACTTAGCGGTGTTCGCCTGAGCGTAATATAGTCTGAACTATTATTTTCCAACGTTGAGTTTAAAATGCGAATGGGCAATGTTTTTTTATTAACATCGACAGTTCAAGAGTAGAATATTGAATATCCAACGCATGGACACATTTCATATTTCTCTAGAGGTCATATTGAAGACGTGTATGACTTAGCTTGGTCTCCCAATGGAACTCAATTGATTTCAGGATCTGTTGATAACAGCGTGATAATTTGGGATACTAACAAAGGTATACTCTCATCAGTACTCATTTGTACACAATCGTTATATTTCACTATACTTAATGATATACTTTTATCATCATATGATCAATAGGAGATAAGTTGAGGATACTAAAGGATCATCGTCAGTATGTCCAAGGGGTATCATGGGATCCCTGTGGTACCTATGTTGCGTCATATTCGTGTGACCGCACGTGCCGTATTTACAACACGTCCAACTACAGATGTTGTTTTAATATTAATAAAGTGACTCTGCCGAGTTGTGCCAAAAGTGAAACCGGAACACAGGTCAGTTGATGCCTGGATGGTGCAGTTTAATTTGCAACCGTAAAAAATTGAGCTTTCCTAAATTTAATACCTCAATTGGTAATTTGCTATTGAAGGGAGTTTTTAAGAAAATAATATGGTTAACTTAATGGTGTTTATTTTGCTCCGGGACGGGGACAATCAGACAAAATAACTCTGCAGCCAAATCGGTTGGTTAAGTTAGTTCGATAGTATCGTGGGCTCGCATTTGGCCATCGGTTGACCATCAAATACCGGTTAAACAGCTTAGATTGAATTGGATTAGTTCATGAAATTTTGCACTTAAAATGTTACACTTTGCCGCCTTTATAATTATTTTAACTAAAATATCAATTTATCGTCAAATAGAGTTCAAAACAAATCAAAATATTTCACGACGAGACAATGCCGTCCTTCTTTCGCCGTTTAACGTTCTCTCCAGACGGTTTACTTCTATTTGTCCCAGGTGAGAAAAATATTCATTTACCTTCCACAGAAGCACTTTCATAGGCCAATATACCTGTGGCTTAATTTGGGATAAAATATCGATAATCAAATTGCTTTTTCAAGGTGGAAAATTTGAGGTACAGGAGAAGATGGTGAACACGACTTTTGTTTTCACCAAAGCATCCATGAACAAGTAAGTGGCATTCTAAACAATTTGCTGCTTAAAATATACTGGTTAAAATCTTACTCAAGTACGAACGTAAAATGATGTTTCAAAGTCAAAAGAGAAATATTTGTTTTTCTGCGTAGACCAGTCATGTATTTTCCCGCCAAGAAGAAACCGACCATTGCAGTGAAGTGTTGCCCGGTACTCTTTGAGCTTCGAAACACAGGTTTGACCGACGAAAATTAAATCTTGCATGCCTGATGAATCAAATTAATTACAGTTAATCATTCTATTCTTCATTTGTTTAGGCAAAAATTCTTGCGAAAGCAACAAGTCTGTTTTTAAGTAAGAATAAAAGTAAACCTTTTTGTAACGGATGTAATACGAGGCCTGTTTACAATTAAATATTGTTTTCATGCACGGTTTTGGTACGAGATTTAGGACCTTTATTGCTTTAAAAATATTACATCACCTGGCTACAGCGTTTGGGTCAACGTGAGAAACAGATTGCAGTATTCTTTTGAGTAAATTCATTGTTGATATTTTCACAGGCTGCCGTATCGCACTGTAATAGCTGTTGCATCTTTGGACAGCGTTGTATTGTACGACACTCAACGAACGTTGCCGTTTGGTTTTCTTTCAAATATGCATTACGCTTCATTGACGGACATCGCTTGGTGAGTTGTTTAGAAATTTAAAATGAACTTTAAATTCAAGATTATATAAAATCGGAGAATGGTTTGGTCACTGTTTCATTCACGAATAACAAGAAGTCATGGGTTTTTTGCTGCTGAAATTACGCGATATCTATGTCTACCTATCATTGCTAGCTACAAAATCAATCTTGTATAATTTCCTGGAATATATTTAGGTCCGGAGATGGTAGAATCCTTGCGATTTCCTCCCGAGATGGTTATTGTTCTTTGGTGACATTCGATGATAACGAGTTGGGTGTCCCCTACAGTCAAAGAGCGAGGGAAATAATCGAGAATTCCGCAGTTCCCGCCAAAGAAAGCAGTCCAAATAGACGAATTATCACGACGCCGAGGTGCAAAACACCAGGTGTGATATACACTGCATTATTTTGTTGTAAAACTACAAAAAAAAACAAGTCCAATCGATTCCTAGTCAACAGTATTTATTTCGTATTCAAAAGTACTTATTTTCCTTTTAACTTTAGACTCTGGTAAAGACGAACGCACACCTCCGAAGATAGAAAAGCTCTCAATCAAAAACTTTGTAACAGTCAACGCACCGAAAGCTAACTCCAGCCAATCAGCAAGCGTACAGAGCTCAGTTAAAACAGACAACGCTCAAAATGACGGGCGGAGAACTGCGGAACCTGCTCCACGCAGAGTCGGCTTCGTCACCGTGAAGCCTTCGATGCCGGTGCCATCTTCGACCATGGGTAATAATTCTGCCGCTGCTATGACAACGGTTTCCATGGCAACTCAGTCACGGAGGGTGAACTTTACGACGCTGCAACCGAAAGGAACAGCGTCATTGGAAAATGATTGTAAACATTTGAGTACAAATAGTTCTGCAGGCGAAGAAGTAATTTCGGGAAACCAGCCTCGCCGGGTTGGATTCGTCACCATAAAATCTCCACAAGATTCGCGGGTACCCCACACAAGTCCCACCAATCCTTCGAGCCAGAATACATCGAATTCCCCTCCGGGGGGTGAGCCCGTGAAAAGCGCCCACGAACCACGTCGAGTTAACTTTGTAACTCTCAAATCACCAGAGAACTCGACTATGCCACCACGAGAAATACTCGCCATATCAACATTGACGAACCACAGTGGGTCAGACACTCCTACCGAGAGAGAGGGGTGCGCTTCCTTGACCCAACCCCCACCGCCCAGAGTCAACTTTGCAACAACAGAGGTTCCCTCGCCTCCCACTGAGAAGGCGACCCTGCAGACCGTCAGTGAAACGTCCAACCAAAGTTCTACAATTCATTCAACAAGCATGGCTAGTACCAGTGTTAAAGCTGCTCAGGACAACATTACGAGAGAAGGCAGACCACCAGTACCACTGGAGCCTGAAGTTACTATTATATAAACCATTAAATATAGAGCCATTGAACATTACAAACACAGTATTCAAATTGTTTGACATTCGCTTGTTTCCAACTCAAGGTTTTTATTCAGGGATAAGCAAGATATATAATTTAATATAACAAAGAGATAGCTCTTGATAGCTCATAAAACAATCAAGTTTTCAACCTCTTCTATTTCCATTGTACTTATTAATTCTGCCAGATATTTTCCCATCATTTTCATTGACTGCGAAGCCGGTGTTTGGTCGCGGTGTTAATGCACTAAGTGAACTCTAGACATATTATTATTAAATGGTTGTAAAGTATTCTGATAGTTGTAGAATGTAACATAAAAAAACAATTTTGTTGTACATTATATTTTCTAGATAATAATATTTGTTCAAGATTTGCGTTGGGTAAATTTAATTCTTGCTGCGACGGAACAGCAAAATCTGCTAAAAAACACATATAGCACCAACCCTATGCAGCATGGCCTATACTCTAACCCGCTATTTATTTTCTCCATCGAGTTATATTTAAAGTTATTTTATATGCATGTGTTCTGCATCGCCGCCGTTAGTTTTATAACTTTGGAAATTAAACGACAGTCAAAAAACAGTTTGCAATACTATGTCCAACTTAAAGCTATATAGAAGTTAGAAAATATGTAGCTATTGGGTTAAACAAGTCGACTTTGAACAACACGACCCGACCATTCAAGAACAAATTTGGAATGAGGGGACTTTTCCTATAGTCAAACGACGAATTACGGAGTACTCTTTTAAAAAATTCCAACAAGCTCAAATTTGACTTTCGTTCTCCATTAACGCTTGTTATGTTTTGTCTGAGAGGACCTCGAGTGAATCGTTTTACAAAACTGTCTTTTTAGATTGTTTTGTGATTATTTGGAAGCTGAATGATGGTAATACGGATGGTTTTCCTCAACCTGCTGCTGGCATGGAGTGTGGGGATTTTGAAAACAAAGAATCTTGGCAGGTTGCAAAGATGCTAAGGTAACACATTTTGTTCGGCTAGCTTGTTTTTATATTGTGACACCAGAATAAAGTTCTAACTGAAAAGAAAAACTGCATCAGAGATTGATCATGAAAGTGGTGCTTAACTCCAAATGAGTTAAATCTGTTGGCTTCGGAATTTGTTGGCTTTTTTATTCAGTCACTTCTGTGTTGCATAATTATTGATAAATTTCAGGTTGACTAATACTCAAATCACTGATTAAAATGCTAATGAATCTGGGATATTTAAGCGATGGTTCATTACTTAATATGACAATTAATTATATGGATGTTATATGGTACAAGATTTTTTCAGTATTTTTAAATCATTCAGGGGGTGAAGAAGTGGTAGATTACTGAAGGGGGCATTTGCCTCTGGCCCTGAATTTTCACTGATTGAGAAAGATGAGAGATAGTTTGTCATTTCCTCGCCCAAACTGGCCCGTAGTTGAGGTGGGGGTCTTGGCGGGGTAGGGGGAGTGCCCCCCCGTTTGAAATCATGCGGTTACCGGAGTGCACCTAAAAAAGCAACTCCTCGGCAATTTTTTCACTTCCCCCCCAGAAGTTGAGATCCAGCTACGCGGCAAACTTTAAATGCCTTCAAAGTATTATAATTGAACACATCGGTTAACAAATGTATACTAAAATAAACGGAAAACTAAGTTCTCCGTTCGTTTTAAAAAATGCGTAAGTTCAAAACAGCCCAAATTCGTTTTTTGTGAGCCGTGACCTGCCCAGGAAAGATTAATCCGGCGCTGTGAGCTCAGGCCTCACTCTCCCTCTAGTCTCTTCTGTCACTAGTTTCGCCGGGGGGTAGAAAGCCTGATAAAAGTAATAAAACTTCGTGAAATCATACGCCAAAGACTTCGCATTTGCCGTCAAAAAATTTTTCGTGCATTCCTGTAAAAGCTCATTGTTCTTATCGTTACCGTGAATCCTTTTACACATGTCAAGAGCTTGGGTGTAAAACTCTTTAGCTTCATTGCACTTTTTATATCCAGATTCAAATTTACAACTAGCTTCATGTTTAACACCGTCCATTTTACTCGCATATGCAATGTCATTAAGTAATTTGACTAAAGAATCGTGATCTTTCCCCCCACGGATGTAAGTTTGTATATCATAAGCCCTTTTAAACGCGAACCTCGCTTTCTCCCAATCGTCTATTGCAAGTGCGCTATACCCAACAAGTTTCAAGATTGATGCCTCTACTTCTGTAAAAATATCATACTTTCTGTTCCTATATAGCGCTTTTAAAGTGTCATCTACCAGTCCTTCAATCTTTTCCATTTGAATGTCCGGTTTTGTCATTTCATATAGAGCTAGAAACAACTTTGCATCAGCGAGAAGAGGAAAAGGTGTATTGTACTTTTCATATAAGATGTTAACAATATCGAGTAAACTTTGACTATGTTTCAAGAAAATCTCGCTGTTTTTCCTATCACCGATAAAGGAGGGTCGAAGAATTTGGGCTAAATTATAATGTGCGTAAGCGATATCTAACAACAAATTAATTTGTAACATTGCCGGTTCCGTTGAACATTCTTCATACAGCGAATAACTATTTTCCAGAGCTTTTTCTGCATAAGATTTAGCTTCCTCGATTCGCCCCATCCCGAACAGAACGGCGCTATACTTTAAATAAATACTTTCCAACTTACGTCGATTTTTACGTGATGGTGGATCACAGTCGTAGTTTCGTCCATTAATTTCCAGCATTTTACGGAAGCATTTCAACGCTTCCGTTCGTTTGCCTTGACAGAACAGTGTCGCTCCCGTCACAATCATCATTTCACCAGGGTTTAGTAACAAATCATGCGGGTTTAAAAGTATGTCTTTAGCGATCTCCTCAGCTTTGTCGTACTCCCCAAATGAAAAGTACGTCGTTAATTTTATTTTTCGATTCTTTTGATAAAATTCCGATTTCATAACCTCAGGTAAACCGCTTCCTTCATTTAACTTTTGCAATGCTTCTTCTAGTGGTATGACGGTAAAGAAGAATCTCTGCAGTAAACACAAGCCTTGAGGATTGATTTTGAAATGTTCACTTTGACCCTGATTGCTTAAATACGTTCTCAACCGAAGTTCAGCTGCTATACCAAGCGCAGTTTTTAGGTCATGAGCTCCTTCTTCAGTAAGAAACTCGGCAGACACCAACTTTCCAATCGTTTCCCAGGAGGACGGGCATTGAACATCGAAGTATTTCCCCACATATTGTATAACAAGGCTCGGAAATCTGTAGATATCAGTTTTCACTTCATAACTTTCGCCTGGTTTGCTTACAAACCCTCCAAGGAAATTTTGGTATTTCGTATTCACTTCAACCAACCCATGTAAAATTCTCTCTTTCCAAGACATTGGATTAATATGATACGTGGATTTAAAATCAACCTTTGCCGAGTTGCAATTGTTCACAGTTTTTTCGAAGTACTCTCTCATAAGTTTGCTATAGTCTTTAAACAACGAATCATCTCCATAAATTAAAGAAGGGGTTGACAGCACATCAGCCAGATGGTATCCCTCTTTGAAAATCGATTCCTCTGAAAGAAGGCCAACCATATCTCTTGGAGTTTTAATCAGGGACTGTACCCAAGGCTTCTTCAAAGTTTTATCTCGTCCTTTTGGCGTTTTACTTGCCCACGGCATGGCTCCGTCAAACGAGAAACCTCTTGGACCATCATCATAAAACCAATTTACTCCTTCATTTCTGGAATAGTAATCATTCAACGACTTTATTCCAAGGCTAGGAAGGATAGTTTCACCAAGTTCCACCACTTTTAAATGAAGTAGGTTTGTGAAGTCGGTAAAATATTGCGTGACACTGTCTGTGTTCTTTTCGACAAGAATACAGAATTCTAAATCTGAGTATGGCGTAGCTTCCTCTCTTGCTGTTGACCCCAAACCAACTATGGAAAATTTACACGGAGGACTTGACATAACCTTTATACAATCATCAGCCATGCTTGTTATTAAATCCTTCATTGATTTCGATATGAATTGATACAGTTGCTGCGTTTGTTTAATTCTTTCCCTTTCAACACTGATATTTCTTGCATCTGGGTCAAGCTCAGGCATTTTATTAAAGGCGCTGATTTTCGATTGGCAGGAATCGCGGATCGTTTGAAGAGTTTGTTTATAATGTTCACGTTTTCGAAAATCGCTCTTGCTATCATTCTGCTGTGATTGAAGTATTTCATCAATAAACATCGTGTGGACATTCCCGATCTCCTCTTCTAAAGAACGAATTTCTGGTTTTAAATCTACTTCGACAGTTCTTTTACTTTCATTTTCTGAATCGCATTCTCGCAGTCGATTTAACGAAGCAGTTAAAAGCCCCGAAGCTTTGACCAAATCTTCACCACTTTTGTGAATCTTTCCGCGAGCTTTGTATACGAAACCCAATCCTCTAAGGGCGATTGCTGTTTCGTAAATTTTGTTCTTCATAAGATTAACCTCTCTTACAGCGCTGGAAAAGTTTCGTTCGGCGTCTTCCAAATTGTTTTTCTCCAGATAGCGATTCCCTGAAGCGAGAAATCGTTCGTAGCGCGATGAACTTGAACGTTGTGCCATTGTTGAGTTTACCAGATGGACAGCGTAGGCGAAATATAATGAAAAATTGAGACAGCTGAATCTTCTGATAATGCAAAGTAACAAACAGCTCTCAGACTATATCGAAGTTGAACTGTCTCTTAAATGATGCGTACTCTAATGAAACTATGCAAGTTATCTCAACTTATCTGCGGTGCTCTTAACGATAACAGCGACAGTGGGAGGTGTTAACAATAAAGGTATTAAATGGGGTGAAGTCAATTAATATTTAAGCTTCCGCTCTTACACTTTGTGAATTTGATGGAATTCTGTTTAAAAACTGTGTTACAACAATGATACTCGACGTCTACCCAATTGGTATGAAGCGACTGATCTTAGTTCAGTGTCAGTAGGAGTATGGGAAAGGTAGTGAATTCGGCGAAAGTCAATAAAAATTTGTTCTAAATATAACTGTGTTGTTCGCATAGTTTAGATTTTAAGGCCCACACACTGGACGCGATTCGCGACACTGCATGGACGAGAATTTTCCATTTTCGGAAGCAAATAAATTAAATTCTGAACGAATATTTTGGGAGATATTTGTACCAGACCAGTCAAAATGTATTATCATTCAGAAATCACCTAGAATATCACAACCTTGGCATTTTGAAAACTGAAAGATTCGTAATTCGAGCTCTCATTTGTTATGAGCAGAACCTATCTGCAGAACGGACTTGACTTCCAGTCACTGTTGTCTCACATCAATTAAACACGACAATATTGTCGAGAAGAAGGAAAACTAAATATCTCTGCAAATATTTGGGCTAAAGACCTCGGAATACCACTAAACGATAGAGCTTGAAAAGACAATTTAAATCGTATATTCAAACCAGCATATAGTGATAAGGTGCATTTGTATTATAAGTCAAAAATGAGTTAAAATAATAGGTTGCTTTGTTATCTCAAATTACTCACCCATAGCAACCATATACTTAAAAAATTCCGCATTTTCTCCCTTTTTAGTTTTCTGTTGTCTTTAAAATGTCTGAATTTTACATATTATCATTCTTTTATAATTCTGAGTAATTTTTTGGGTAGGATGTGAATGGGCAATGTTTTTTATTAACATCGACAGTTCAACAGTAGAATATTGAATATCCAACGCATGGACACATTTCGTATTTCTCTAGAGGTCATATTGAAGACGTCTATGACTTAGCTTGGTCTCCTAATAGAACTCAGTTGATTTCTGGGTCTGTTGATAACAGCGTGATAATTTGGGATACTAACAAAGGTATATCCTCATCAGTACTCATTTGTACACATTCGTTATATTTCACTATACTTAATGATATACTTTTATCATCATATGATCAACAGGGGATAAGTTGAGGATACTAAAGGATCATCGTCAGTATGTCCAAGGGGTGTCATGGGATCCCTGTGGAACCTATGTTACGTCATATTCTTGTGACCGCACGTGCCGTATTTACAACACGTCCAACTACAGATGTTGTTTTAATATTAATAAAGTGACTGTGCCGAGTTGTGCCAAAAGTGAAACCGGAACACAGGTCAGTGGATGCCTGGATGGTGCAGTTTATTTTGCTACCGTAAAAAATTGAGCTTTCCTAAATTTAATACCTCAATTTGTGAATTGCTATTGAAAGGAATTTTGAAGAAATAAATATGGTTAACTTAATGGCGTTTATTTTGCTTGGGGGCGGGATAATCAGACAAAATAACTCTGCAGTCAAATCGGTTGGTTAACTTAGTTCGATAGTATCGTGGGCTCGCATTTGGTCATCGGTTGACCATCAAATACCGGTTAAACAACTTAGATTGAACTGGATTAGTTCATGAAATTTTGCACTTAAAATGTTACACTTTGCCGCCTTTATAATTATTTTAACTAAAATATCAATTTATCGTCAAATAGAGTTCAAAACAGATCAAAATATTTCACGACGAGACAATGCCGTCATTCTTTCGCCGTTTAACGTTTTCACCAGATGGTTTACTTCTATTTGTCCCAGGTGAGACAAATATTTATTTACCTTCCACAGAAGCACTTTCATAGGCCAATATACTTGTGGCTTAATTTGGGATAAAATATCGATGGTGAAATTGCTTTTTCAGGTGGAAAGTTTGAGATACAAGAGAAGATGGTGAACACGACTTTCGTTTTCACCAAAGCATCCATGAACAAGTAAGTGGCATTCTAAACACTTTGCTGCTTAAAATATACTTTTACTCAAGTACGAACGTAAAATGATGTTTCAAAGTCAAAAGAGAAATATTTGTTTTCTGCGTAGACCAGTCATGTATTTTCCCGCCAAGAAGAAACCGACCATTGCAGTTAGAAAGGAAGCTAGAAAGAAAAATGAGGAAATCTAAACTAAATGTTGATCGAGTTGCTTATCTAAGTAAGACATGCAATAAATATTCTGCATTACTTAATGAGGCTCGAAAGAAATATTATACTAACCTTATTGATGAATGTTCAAATGACTCGAAGAAATTGTTTAAGGTTGTGACATCGCTTTGTAAAACGCCGAGGGATGATCCACAACTGCCACCGCATGATGATTTATGTCAACTCGTTAATACTTTCGGTGAATATTTTTACCGCAAAATTGAAATTATTAGAAAGGATATCGACGACATTACCATTGATCCACAGCCGGTTGAATATCGTAGACCAGACGTCAAGCTCGAATCGTTTACTCCTCTCTCGAACCAAGAGGTTTATGACATAATCATGCAGTCGTCAAACGCATCGTGTGAATTGGATCCGATCCCATCATGGCTAGTAAAGTTGTGCTCTAATGAATTAACACCTATTGTCACGAAAATTATCAATTTATCCTTGCAAGAAGGACATGTTCCAGACGCTTGGAAAACTGCTCTATTAAAGCCATTTTTAAAAAAAGCTGGCCTAGATGTGGTTTTCGAGAACTTTAGACCTGTCTGTAACCTATCACTTGTATCTAAATCCACCGAAAAGGCTGTTGTTAAGCAGTTGCTTGACCACTGTGACGAAAATGCGCCCCTACCAAGTAATCAATCAGCGTATCGGAAGAACCACTCTACTGAGACTGCCCTCCTGAAAGTTCAAAACGACATTCTGTTGAGTATGGACAAACAAGAAGTGGTCTTGCTCGTCTTATTAGATTTAAGTTCGGCCTTCGACACAATTGACCACCAATTTATGCTTGATATTTTGGAGTTTGATTTTGGGGTTACCTCAGTACCAACTTCAAAGACTTCAAAGAGTTTTGAATGCTGCAGCTAGACTTGTTTCTCAAAGTACAAGATTCTCCCATATTACACCAATTTTAATCAACCTTCACTGGCTTCCTTTCAAGTATCGAATCGAATTTAAAATTGCCCTATTGGTTTATAAGGCTCTAAATGGTGATGCTCCTAGTTATATCTCGGCGTTACTGACATTTAAACCGGCCAGCAAGTACGATCTAAGATCAGATGACCAAAATCTCCTTCAAGTTCCTGTTACTAAATTAAAGACCGTTGGAGACAGAGCTTTTATGTCTGCTGCTCCTCGAATATGGAACACTTTGCCATTAGAAATTAGATAAAGTGAAAACATTAGTAATTTTAAAAAACAATTAAAAACTTTCCTTTTTAAAAACGCTTTTAATCTTTAGTAGAACAGTATAGTTTTTAAATTTTTAGTAGAAAAATTAGATTACGTATTTTAGATTGTACAGCGCTTTAAATATTTATATAATTAAGCGCTATATTTAGATATTAATTATTATTATTATTATTATTATTATTATTATTATTATTATTATTATTATTATTATTATTATTATTATTATTATTATTATTATTATTATTATAAGTGTTGCCCGGTACTCTTTGAGCTTCGAAACACAGGTTTGACCAACGAAAATTAAATGTTTTGTAACGGATGTAATAAATTACGAGGCCTGTTTACAATTAAATATTGTTTTCATGCAAGGTTTTGGTACGAGTTTTAGGACCTTTATTGCTTTAGAAATAGATTGCAGTGTTCTTTAGAGTAAATTGATTGTTGATATATTCACAGGCTGCCATATCGCACAGTAATAGCTGTTGCATCTTTGGACAGCGTTGTATTGTACGACACTCAACGAACGTTGCCGTTTGGTTTTCTTTCAAATATGCATTACGCTTCATTGACGGACATCGCTTGGTGAGTTGTTTAGAAATTTAAAATAAACTTTAAAATTCAAGATTATATAAAATCGGAGAATGGTTTGGTCACTGTTTCATTCACGAATAACAAGAAGTCAGGGGCTTTTTGCTGTTGAAATTACGCGATATCTATGTTTACCTATCATTGCTTGCTACAAAATCAATCTTGTATAATTTCCTGGAATATATTTAGGTCCGGAGATGGTAGAATCCTTGCGATTTCCTCCCGAGATGGTTATTGTTCTTTGGTGACATTCGATGATAACGAGTTGGGTGTCCCCTACAGTCAAACAGCGAGGGAAATAATCGAGAATTCCACAGTTCCCGCCAAAGAAAGCAGTCCAAATAGACGAATTATCACGACGCCGAGGTGCAAAACACCAGGTGTGATATACACAGCATTATTTTGTTGTAAAAGTACCAAAAATACAAGTCCAATCGATTCTTAATCAACAGTATTTATTTCGTATTCAAAAGTGCGCATTTCCTTTTAAATTTAGACTCTGGTAAAGATGAACGCACTCCTCCGAAGATAGAAAAGCTCTCAATCAAAAACTTTGTAACAGTAAACGCACCGAAAGCTAACTCCAGCCAATCAGCAAGCGTACAGAGCTCAGTTAAAACAGCCAACGCTCAAAATGACGGGGGGGAAACTACGGAACCAGCTCCACGCAGAGTCGGCTTCGTCACCGTGAAGCCTCCGATGCCGGTGCCATCTTCGACCGCGGGTAATAATTCTGACGCTGCTATGACAACGGTTTCCATGGCAACTCAGCCACGGACGGTGAACGTTACGACGCTGCAAGCGAAAGGAACAGCGTCTTTGGAAAATGATTGTAAACATTTGAATACAAATAGTTCCGCATGCGAAGAAGTAAAAACTGTAAGTTCGGCAAACCAGCCTCGCCGGGTGGGATTCGTCACCATAAAATCTCCACAAGATTCGCGGGTACCCCACAGAAGTCCTACCAATCCTTCTAGCCAGAATACATCAGATTCCCTTCCGGGGGGTGAGCCCGTGAAAAGCGCCCACGAACCACGTCGAGTTAACTTTGTAACTCTCAAATCACCACAGAACTCGACTAGGCCACCACGAGAAATCCTCGCCATATCAACATCGACGAACCACAGTGGGTCAGACACTCCTACCGAGAGAGAGGGGTGCGCTTCCATGACCCAACCCCCACCGCCCAGAGTCAACTTTGCAACAACAGAGGTTCCCTCGCCTCCCACTGAGAAGGCGACCCAGGCGACCCAGCAGACCGTCAGCGAAATGTCCAACCAAAGTTCTACAATTCATTCAACAAGCATGGCTAGTACCAGTGTTAAAGCTGCTCAGGACAACATTACGAGACAAGACAGACCACCAGTACCACTGGAGCCAGAAGTTACTATCATAAACCATTAAATATAGAGCCATTGAACATTACAAACACAATATTCAAGTTACTTGGCATTCGCTTGTTTCCAACTAAAGGTTTTTATTCAGGGATAAGTAAGATATATAGTTTAATATAATAAGTAGATGGCTCTTGATAGCTGATAAAACAATCAAGTTTTCAGCTTCATCTATTTCTATTATACTTATTAATTCTGCCAGATATTTTCCCATCATTTTCATTGACTGCGAAGCCGGTGTTTGGTCGCGGTGTTAATGCACTAAGTAAACTCTAGACTTATTATTATTAAATTGTTACAAAGTATTCTGATAGTTGTGGAATGTAACATAAAGAAACAATTTTGTTGTACATTATTTTTTCTAGATAATAATATTTGTTCAAGATTTAATTTAAATTTAATTCTTGCTGCGACGGAACAGCAAAATCTGCTAAAAAACACATATAGCGCCAACCCTATGCAGCATGGCCTATACTCTAACCCGCTATTTATTTTCTGCATCGAGTTATATTTAAAGTTATGTTATATGCATGTGTTCTGCATCGCCGCCGTTAGTTTTATAACTTTGGAAATTAAACGAGTCAAAAAAATTTGCAATACTATGTCCAACTTAAAGCTATATAGAAGTTAGAAAATTTATATCTAGCTATATATTGGGTTAAACAAATCGAGTTTGAACAACACGACCCGACCATTCAAGAACAAGTTTGGAATGAGGGGACTTTTCCTTTAGTCAAGCGACGAATTACGGAGTACTCTTTTAAAAAATTTCAACAAGCTCAAATTTGACGAACGAACGAGTTATAACTTTAGTTCTCCATTAACGCAGACTTGGTAGCACTCGAAGATAGGTTCGTTTCATGTTTTGTCTGAGAGGATCACGCGCATTCTAACGAATTTATTGTCAAATTTAAAAACAAAATTAGTTTGCAGGTACGTCCAAATTGATCATCACATAAAATCAAGACATAAAATTTTTCTCTTGTTCTGTAGGAAATATGTTGGCATCTGGTGGAGATGGTACTGTAAAATCTCATTATTTTTTAGATTCCAATAAATTTCTTCACTTTTTCTCATGTTTAACATGAAAATTGCATGACTTATAACTGATCTACTAACAATATTTGTTCATTGGAAACGCACAGCCACCATATTGTAAAGTTTTCACCTTGGGGGCTCCAAGCAACTGCTAGGATGATTAATGGCTAGTACAAGCTGAACTCGAGTGAATCGTTTTACAAAACTGTCTTTTTAGATTGTTTTGTGATTATTTGGAAGCTGAATGATGGTAATACGGATGGTTTCCCTCAACCTTCTGACATAGGGTGTGGGGATTTTGAAAACAAAGAATCTTGGCAGGTTGCAAAGATGCTAAGGTAACACATTTTGTTCTAGCTTGTTTTTATATTGCGACACCAGAATAAAGTTCTAACTGAAAAGAAAAACTGCATCAGAGATTGATCATCACAGTGGTGCTCAACTCCAAATGAGTTAATTCTTCTCTGTTGTGTTGCATAATCATTGATAAATTTCAGGTTGACCAATTATGTCTTGATTTTTTCTATCGTATAAACAATTTTTTATTGATATTGTAATTTTAGTTAGTTTGAGGGCCACAAGTTTATTAGCTGTCAGCTATTTCGTGTCTACCCTCATTAAATAAAGATTCTATCTATCTATCTATCTATCTATCTATCTATCTATCTATCTATCTATCTATCTATCTATCTATCTATCTATCTATCTATCTATCTATCTATCTATCTATCTATCTATCTATCTATCTATCTACTCAAATCACCGATTAAAATGCTAATGAATCAGCAATGGTTCATTATTAAATATGACAATTAATTATATGGATGTTATATGGTACAAGATTTTTTCAGTATTTTTAAATCATTCAGGGGGTGGAGGAGTGGTAGATTACTGAAGAGGCATTTGCCTCTGGCCCCGGATTTTCACTGTTTGGGAAAATTAAGAGATAGTTGGTCATTTCCCCTCCGGGCTTTCTGAGGTTTAAACATATTAACTACAGTTTAAACAACGATGAGCCACCTGTCTGCTTTCTGCTTTCCAAGTGCATTTTGCAAAGTATATAATGATATGTAATTTTCCACTTACGCGGTTTTATACGCGTGGCAAACTGGCCCGTAGTTGAGGTGGGGGCTTTGGGGGGGGTAGGGAGAGGCTCCCCCCCGTTTGACATCATGCGGCTACCGGAGTAGCCGCTATAAAAGCAACTCCTCGGCAAGTTTTTTTTACTTCCCCCCCAGAAGTTGAGATGCAGCTACGCGGCAAACTTTAAATCCTTCAAAGTATTATAATTGAACACATCGGTTAACAAATGTATACTAAAATAAACGGAAAACTAAGTTCTCCGTGCGTGTACGTGCGTATAAAAAAATGCGTGAGTTAAAAACAGCCCTAATTCGTTTTTTGTGAGCCGTGACCAGCCCTGGAAAGATTAATCCGGCGCTGGGAGCTGCTCAGGCCTCACTCTCCCTCTGGTTTCTGCTGTCACTAGTTTAAGATTTTTAATCAGGGCACTATGCCTTTTCTTGAACTCGCTGAGGGTAGAAATCCATATAAAACCTCACGAAATCATACGCCAAAGACTTCGCATTTGCCGTTAAAAAACCTTCCGCGCATTCCTGTAAAAGCTCGTTTTTCTTATCGTCACCGTGAATCCTTTTACACATGTCAAGAGCTTGGGTGTAAAACTCTGTAGACTCCTTGTACTTTTCATGTGCAGATTCATATTCATGACAGGCTGTATGTTCATCACCTTCTTTTTCACTGGCAAATGCAATGTCATTAAGCACTTTAACTAAAAAATCGTCATCTTTCCCCGCATTGATGTGATATCGTATATCATAAACCCTGTTAAACGCGAACCTCGCGTTCTTCCAATCAAACTTTAGTTTTGCGTGAACCGAAAGAGCATATAGATTTTTTCCTCCTCTCTTGTAAAAATAGCATACTTTCTGGTCCTATATAGCACTTCTAAAGCGTCATGTAACAGTCCTTCATTCTTTTCCAGGTGCATCTCCAATGACTTTGTTCTAAGTTGATATTCAAATAGCAACATTATTGCACTCGCGTGAAAACGAAAAGGTGTATTGTACTTTTCATATAACATGTAAGCAATATCGATTGCTTTTTGAACATGCTCCAATAGCTTGACTTCGTTGTGTTTCTGTTCACTGAAATCCAAGGAAGGGGCCAAGGAAGATCGCATAATTTTGCCTAAATTATAATGTGCGCCAGCGATGTCTAACAACAAGTAATTTGAACCTTTGCCGGTGCCGTTGAACATTCTTTATACAGCGAATATCTGTTTTCCAGAGCTTTTTTTCCATAAGATAAAGCTTCCTCGATTTTCCCCAACTCAAACAGAACGACGCTATAGTTCATATAACAATCTCCCAACTGATATCGATATACGTGATTGTGGATCAAGATCGTATTTTCGCTTCACAATTTCCAGTGCTTTTCTGAGGTATTTTTCCGCTTCCGCTGGTTTTCCTTGAATGAGCAGTGTGTTTCCTATATCAGTATTTTTTCCTATTGCAGTAATTTTTTTACAGCGTTTAGTGACGAAACATGCGTGTTTACAAGCATGTTATTAAGGATCTCCCGACCTTTGTCGTACTCCCCAAATGTCAAGTACGTCTCTGCTTTTATTGTTGAGTTATTTTGATAAAATTCCGATTTCATAACCTCAGGTAAACCGCTTCCTTCTTTCAACTTTTTCAATGCTTCTTCTAGTGGTATGACGGTAAAGAAAAGTCTCAGCAGTAAACACAAGTATTGAGGATTGATTTTGAAATATTCACTTTGACCTTGATTGCTTAAATACGTTCTCAACCGAAGTTCAGCTGCTATACCAAGCGCAGTTTTTAGGTCATGAGCTCCTTCTTCAGTAAGAAACTCGGCAGACACCAACTTTCCAATCGTTTCCCAGAGGACGGGCCTTGAACATCGAAGTATTTCCCCACATATTGTATAACAAGGCTGGGAAATCTGTAGATATCTGTTTTCACTTCATAACTTTTGCCTGGTTTGTTTACAAAGTCTCCAAGACCGGTTTGACCGTATTTCGTATTCACTTCAACCAACTCATGTAAAATTCTCTCTTTCCAAGACATTGCATTTATATGATACGTGGATTTGAAATCAACCTTTGCCGAGCTGCAATTCTTCACAGTTTTTTCGAAGTGCTCTCTCATAAGTTTGCCATAGTCTTTAAACAACGAATCATCTCCACAAATTAAAGATGGGGTTGAAAGCACATCAGCCAGATGGTATCCCTCTTTGAAAATCGATTCCTCTGAAAGAAGGCCAACCATATCTCTTGGAGTTTTGATCAGGGACTGTACCCAAGGCTTCTTCAAAGTTTTATCTCGTCCTTTTGGCGTTTTACTTGCCCACGGCATGGCTCCGTCAAAAGAGAAACCTCTTGGACTATCATCATAAAACCAATTTACTCCTTTGTTTCTGGAATAGTAATCATTCAACGACTTTATTCCAAGGCTAGGAAGGATAGTTTCACCAAGTTCCACCACTTTTAAATGAAGTAGGTTTGTGAAGTCGGTAAAATACTGCATGACACTGTCCGTGCTCTTTTCGACAAGAATACAGAATTCTAAATCTGAGTATGGCGTGGCTTCCTCTCTTGCTGTTGACCCCAAACCAAGTATGGAAAATTTACACGGAGGACTTGACATAACCTTTATACAATCATCAGCCATGTTTGTTATTAAATCCTTCATTGATTTCGATATGAATTTATACAGTTGATGTGTTTGTTCAATTCTTTCCCTTTCAACACTGATATCTCTTGCATCTGGGTCAAGCTCAGGCATTTTATCAAAGGCGCTGATTTTCGATTGGCAGGAATCGCGGATCGTTTGAAGAGTTTGTTTATAATGTTCACGTTTTCGAAAATCGCTCTTGCTATCATTCTGCTGTGATTGAAGTATTTCATCAATAAACATCATGTGGACA